CTCCGAGGGGCCTCCAGCCTCTGTGCGCTCTGTCGTAGGGCTGCATGGATCTCTCCAACATTTTTGTGTTGTATTAGGATGTCCTCTGTTGGCATACGGATGCCCCTTTTTGTTGTACATTGGAGGGGAGAGATTAAACTCACTCCGCCATGATGCTGATGTCACCTACCCCTACTCACTTTCTTAACAATACCTTTTGAAGAGTCAAAGTTTTCATCTTGATGAAATCCATGTGGTCCATTTTCCTTTATTGTTCGTGTTCCACCTGCACCCCCGCCCGGCACGGGGGCCCGGAAGCTCTCTCCAGGAATAAGCTGGGGCCATCGAGCTCTCACCTCGTGTGCTCCTCCCTCTCTGGGATCACAGCCCTTAGTTCCCTGGTGTCCAACAGTTGGTGACAACTGTTGTCCCACAGTTTGTTCAGTTTGTAGGTGTTTTGGGCAGGAGGGGAACCTGTCCCTGTCACTCCATCTCAGTCAGAAGCAGAAACCTGCCTTCGCTTTTTATAAATGTTTTTAAATAACAGCTTCACAGCGAGAGGATTCTTGTACCGTGAGATCGCCCTCCTGTCTGAGAGCTGCTTTCTCTGGTGCAGACGTTTAGGTCATCAGTGTTTCGTGCTTGTTTTTCTTTTCCTTTCTTTCAGGATTTTCATATCATTGCTCCATTGACTCCGGTTTCTCACGAGAAGTTTGCTGATGTTTCTTTGTTGCTCTGTATGAAATGTGTCTTTTCTGTGAGTGTTTTAAAGAGTTTTTCTTTATTTCTCATTTTCACCAGTTGGATTATTGAGTCTCAGTGTGATTTTCTTGTATTTATTCTGCTTGAGGCTTGTTGAGCTTCTTGGATCTGTGGGCTTGTAGTTTTCATCAAGTTGGGAAGACTTTCACCACTTTGAGTTTCACCAACCTCTGGACTCCTCGCCAGGGTGTGAAATCTCATACCCCGAGAGAATGCGGGAATCCAGTGAACCCTGCCTGTCAGAGTCTCAGTTTCGCCTCCCTTGATTGGGCACCCTCGAAACCCATTCCCCTAGATGCCCCCGGACAGGAACTGCTGCACCTTCTTGCAGCTCCTTTGGCTTCCGGCCCCTTCTCCCTCATCAGGCCCAGTGCATATTCGATGAGGTTATTACCGAACTTATCCCTAGCTATCAGCCTGGCAGTCAGCAGACGGGTCAGGGGCAGATCCTGAAGGAGACCCTGTTGCCTTTTTTAGGAGGCCCCTGCAGTGTCCTCCCATGTGAGGGGAGTGCTAGCCCCTCCTAGAGACGGGTGAGGCACCTTTGCATGCTCTGGAGTTTCAAAAGAGTCTGGGGAGCCAAAACCTTCTGGGGCATCCACCTAGAAATCCCCACCCCATATGTCAAAGTCTTCCCAACCAGGCCCCTGACTTTGGTATAGCAAATCAACTGTGACCAACATACAGTCATCTTTGAAGCCCAGCATCTCTAACTATTCAGTCCTTGTCCTGGGACCAGCTTTTCCTTTTCTCCCACTGAAGGAGACATGGGCCTCTTTATAAACTACCAGGAAGTTCTGGCCTTCACACTTAGTTTCAATTGTGTGTTAACTGTCTCCAACCTTTCATGATCCCTCTGTATGGTGTCAATGCAACCTAATGACAGTCAGATCACTGTACTGTTCTTGTATGCATCTTCTTTGTCCTCCCAAACACACATCCTTCTCAATCACCATACCAGCCACCATTCTCTCAATTTACTATTGCTGGAAGTTTTACCAATGGACTGCCACCTTGTTCAAGGCACCTGCATACAACCTGGGATGGGTTCCTCATTGCCAGCTGCTGGCTGCCAGCTCACTGCCGACGGCTGCTACAACAGTTATCAGAATGGTAGCTTAGTATCCCAGCATCCTTCAAAGGTGACCAATGAGGATGTTATTTAAAAAATGAACTCATGGATTTTAACATATTTGACGTGCTTCAACCCATCATAGTTACTTTTCTTTTTGATCCTCAAAATGTCCTTACTTTGGCCAGTGGGAGCCCCTCCAAATTGGCTAATGAATCCTCTGACGCACGCTAGAATCTTTGATAATTTCCTTGCTTTCTGTTAATAAGATGCTCCAAGATCATCTTGCATGTTTTCTGCCTCAGATCTGAACTCAGTCATTTTTCTAAGAAGCTATGGTTTCTTTTAGTAGGAAATGGCGCGTGGGGACAACAATCGGTGCTAAGAGTACTCGTTGCTACTGGACTGGAGGTAGTTTTCAGACCAGTGCCGTCCACGGGAACGGGGGGCACTTCTCACATCTGCGCCGTCTAACATGCAGCTACTAGCCACGTGGGTCCCCAGAACACTTGAAATGTGGCTACTGCACCCAAGGAATGGCACTTTAAATTTTATTTAATGAAAACGTCTTTACTGGGGTAAAATACACATAACAAAAGTTACCATTTTAACCATTTTTAAGCGTACAGTTCAGCAACATTATGCATACGTCCGTTGTTGTGCAACCATCACCACCGCCCATCTCCAGAACTTCTTCACCCTCCCAAACTGAAATTCTGTGCCCATTGAACACTAACTTCCCACCCCCTCCCCCAGCCCCCGCCACCTCCTTCTACTTTCTGTTTCTATGAATTTGACCCCTCTAGGGACCTCATAAAAGTGATTCCAACAATATTTGTTCTTTTGTGTCTGGCTTATTTCACTCAGCACAACATCCTTGAGGTTCAGCCATGTTGTAACATGTGTCAGGATTTCCTTCCGGAGGCTGAATAATTCCATTATCTGTATATATCACATTTTCTTTTTCCATTCATCCATTGATGGACATTTGGGTTGTTTCCACCTTTAGGTTACTATGAATAATGTTGTCGTGAACATTGGTGTACAAATATTTGTTCAAGTATTTAACTTTAATTAATTTAAGTATAAAAAGCCCTGTGTGCCCAGTGGCTACCATACTGGACAGTTTTAGACCTTTCAGTGGACAGAGATAAGAAATATGTTTTAAAAGAAAAAGATCATATTAATTCATACTAATATTTCCTATTGACACACAGGATTACAGATTTTTCAGTTCTTATTTTATATCTGTCTATTCTCACCTGCTGAAAATACTGGTTCCTAATATTTTCATACAGCTTATTTGCTTTATCCCACTTTATATAACTCCAGAACAGCAATACCAACATTATTACTAAGACCAGGATTACTGCAACAATTTAAGATTCCTCCACAGCTCCTTTTGTCCTTGGGACGTAGTCTACTGGGTATGTACAGTCAAATTGTTGGGTTTAAAGTCACTTGAAATTATCCTTTTCTCTATGGTTAAGCCACCAACCTGACATACAGTTAGGTTCATTTGTTTCATTTTGTTTCCAATTTTTAGGAATTATTTTTTCCTATTTTGATTTACTTTTGGTTTTATAATTACACAGTCCCATAGCCAAATGTACAAGCACATTTAGAAAAATCTAGTTTCTACTCCTGCCCTCCTGCTTCTTGTTGGTAATCATTTTTATGTTACCTTTGTTTTCTTTTTTTTTTTTTGAGAAAGATTAGCCCTGAGCTAACTACTGCCAATCCTCCTCTATTTGCTGAGGAAGCCTGGCCCTGAGCTAACATCCATGCCCATCTTCCTCTACGTTATACGTGGGACGCCTACCACAGCATGGCTTTTGCCAAGCGGTGCCATGTCGGCACCTGGGATCCAAAGCGGCGAACCCCGTGCCCCGGAGAAGCAAAACGTGCAAACTTAACCGCTGCGCCACCGGGCTGGCCTCCACGTTATTTTTTAATGTAAGAAAATACACAGGTATGTATATTCTTATTGCCCGCCCCCGCCTTCTTAGATAAAGTACTTTACACACTGTTCTGAATGTTCTAGAGATCACTCCTGGCAGAACGTAGAAACAGTCCCTGTACCTGTCGCAGCTGTTCCATGGTGCAGCCACACCACCGCCTCCTCCACCCCCTCCTCTTGGCGACACGGGGCTGTTTTTAGTCTTTTGCTGTCCCTCCCTTCTCTAGTAGGAAGAGCTTTAACCATGAAAGTGGAAAGGCCCAGAGAAGGAAGCTAACAAGAAAGAAGCCCCACGACTTGGGTGGGGTGGGGAAGAGACGTACAACCCTCTTAGAAAAACTCTCTCGGGCTGGTATGGTGACTCAGTTCTGTTCCTCCAGTCCAGAGTCCTGAGAAGGGAAAAAACCCGGGCTCCACTCGGGGAGAGGGGGCGGAGTGGCACGGTGAGACCTGCTAACTCCCGCGGCTCGCACAGACGCTGCGCTTTCTGTAAGGCTTAACGGCTGTGATGCAGCATCCCCGGCTCACCCGGAGGACTTCCCGGGCCTCCCCGTGGCAGAGGAGCCACTGGTTAACGCCAGCTCGCGGAGGCCGGCCGCCTTGCAGGTCACATGCAGGCGAGGTGCCGGAGGGCGCCGGGCTCCGCGAGGGCAGGGGGCCCGCCCGATGCGCTCGCCCGCCCGCGTCTCCGCTGCGCGCGCAGCCGGGCCAGGCAGGGGGCACAGACGCGGGGGCCGTGCAACGGGCGACCGGGCCTCGGACAGGGTGGCGGGGACCGGACAATGCGTCGGGGAAGCCCAGTTCGCCTCCCGCCCAGTTTGGCGTAGTGTGCCGGATCTCCCATCTCCAAAAGCGAGGGGAAAAGCCCAATTTTATGTGAACTCTGCTATTTTTTAAAGTTGGGAACTAATCCGAACTTCGGCCGGCGTGGGCCAACCAGGGCCTGGCCGGACCTCCCCCCGCGGCGGCCTCGGCCCGGCCCGGGGCGTGGGGGGACGAGCGGCGACCACGGGCGCCCAGAGCCCACGCCTCCTACTCCGGGCTCGCGGGGCCGTCTCCGCCTCATTGCGCCTGCGCGGGGACCGAGCCACCGCCCGGCGGGGGAGCGCGGCGCGAGCACCCCCCGCCCCCGGCAGTGGAGCTGCCCGTTGCCATGGAGACGCCCGTCCAAACCGCGCCGCCAGCCGCCGAGGAGCCGACCCCGCGCGGATCAGCCCGGAGGTGGGTCCGTTCGCCCGGAGCCCGGGGCTGGGCTCGGGGGCTTCGGCCGCCCCCCGGGTCAACGCCTTCGCCGCTGCCCGAGAAGTAACCGCTGATGGGGTCTCGCCCCTGTTAACCGCGGGGACCCCTGGGCGCAGGTGCAGCGGGCTCCGGGTTCTGCTCCTGGCCGAGCAGCGATGTGGCCCCAGCGCACTGTGAAGCGTTGAGCAGAAGCCGAGGGGGAGGCTGGCGGTGAGCAGGCCGCATCCGGGGGTCCGGGCGGGGGAGAGGCCGGGTACCATTCTTGACTCCGAAGTCGCCCCAATTTGGTGTTTAAAAGGATAAGCTGTTTCTGGAAGTGGATAGGCCTCTCTACTTTTGTTTTCCATAAGCGAATACTCCTTTTCTCTGCTCACATCTGTGTATCTAGCAAACATTCCCTGAACTTCTGTGAGCCAGGCACTGAGTGAGGCAAGGCGTGAACCTGCTCGGGCATCCGCAGGTGGAAAGAATTCCCCGATAGGTCTTCTCTGCAGACAGACGGTGCATAAATTCACATGCACGGTTTGAAGGCTGGCTGTAAAGTGAACATCGGTAGCTACTGCCCAAGTCAAGAAATAGAACCGTGCCAGCACCCGGGAGTCGCCCCACCACCCCCCCGGCCACGCGCAGCCGGTCTCCAGACCTTAGGCTGGCATCTGCGATTCTAAGTTCCTGGCTTCTCTTTAGTTCCAACACCTACATATACACCTAAACAATATAGTCAAGTTTCGCCTGTTTTTAAACTTTATATAAGTGGAATAATACTGTATGTATTCTTTTTAATTTTTGAATCAGTCCCAAATTTACATAAAAACTGCAAGTTGAGCACAAAAACCTTCTTTTCCTGAAGCATTTGAGAGTATGTTGTGTGCATGGTGCCCTGTCTCCCACAGATACTTCAGAGTGTGTTTCCTACGCGGAAGGATGTTCTCCAGCATAACCACAGCAGGACCATCAAAGTCAGGGGCTAACATGGACACGTCCTACGTCTAATTCTCAGCCCGAGATGAGCATGTTTTGCCAGTTGGTCCTATAAAGTCAGGAAATCAAAAGGATCCATCTGGGATCGTGCATTGTACTGAGTTGTCATCCTGTTTCTTTAGTGTCCCTCAGTCCAGGACATTCCTTGGCTTTGTGACCCTGAGTCTTTGACGGTTACAGGCCACCTCCTTTGCAGAGAGCCCCTCCATTTGGGTTTGTCTGATGTCTCCTCGTGGTTGGTTCCCATTATGTATCTTTGGCAGGAAAGGATGCCACGTGCTCACTTTCTGCTCATTCCGTCCTGTCGGGCGCCTCGCGGTGGTCCGTCTGTCACGTTACTGATGATGTTTGCTTTGATCACCTGATTAAGGTGGTGTCTGTAGGCGTGTCCATGGGAATTTACTTTTTCTCTCTGTAAGTAACAAGTATTTTGTTGGGAGGCACTTGGAGGCCGTGTAATTCTGTCGTCCCCCCAGGCGTGATTTGGGTGGCTCTATGGTGGACACCTTCCCTGCCTGGGCTCTCATACCTACGCTGAACCGTCCCCCGTGGGGCTGGTTCCTCCCACTCAGGCTCTGACGTCCCACTCTGGGCCTCAAGCCTCTTCCCCACCCCACAGCCATCCCCCTCACCAGTCAGGCTCTGACACCTGCTCGGGGCCACTGTGGATCCTGCTTCACCTGCCCCCCCCCCCCCCCCGGGGAGCCTACTTTAAAAGTGAAAGGATGGGAGGAGGAAAAGCAGTTGATGTGCTTGGGTGCCTTCCTCCTCTCAGCTGTGTTTAAGACCCATCCACGCCACTGCACACAGCAGTAGCTCATTCAGGTTCATCACGGAATAGCCCCCCACAGGACGGAGCCTGCCGCCCTGTGGACGGCCGTGGAGTTGCTGCCGTTATGAACGCTGCTGCTCCGTGAGGTCTCGCATGTCTCCTGGTATTCACGTGTTATGAGTGGAATTGTGTGTCTCCTCAAAAAAAACCCATCTGTTATTGGGGTCACCCCGTGGCATAGTGGTTAAGTTTAGCACATTCCGCTTCGATGGCCCAGATTCGTGGGTTTGGATCCTGGGTGTGGACCTACACCACTCGACAGCCACACTGTGGTAGCAACTCACATATGAAGTGGAGGAAGACTGTCAACAGATGTTAGCTCAAGCCAATCTTCCTCAGCAAAGCAAAACAAAACAAACCCACAACTCATATGTTGAAGTCCTAACCCCCAGTATCTCAGAGTGTGACTTCATTTGGAAATAAGGTCATTGGGGATGTAATTAAGGTGATGCCATGCTAGAGTAGTGTGGCCCTTAATCCACTATGGCGGGTGTCTTTATGAAAAGGAGGAATGTGGACATAGACACGCACAGAAAGAGAACCTCATATGAAGATCACAGGTAGGCTGCCGCCAGCAGGGAACTACCAGAACCAGGAGAGAGGCCTGGGAGAGATCCTGCACTGTGCTTCGGAGGAGCCTGGCCCTGCTGGCACCTTCATTGCCAATTTCTGGCGCCCAGAACTGTGAGAGAATACATTTCTGTGGTTCTGACTCCCAGTTTGTGATACTTTGTTGTGGCAGCCCCCGGGAAACCAACACAACATCCAGGAGTTTCTGTGGGGTACGCACCTCCAAGAGGACTCGCTGAGTCAGAGGGTATGGTGGGCAGAATAATGCCCCCGGAGATGCCCGTGTCCTCATCCTTGGAACCTGTAAATAGGTCAGGTTACGTGGCAACAGGGAATTAAGGCTGCAGATGGAATTAAGGTTGTTAATCAGCTGACTTCGAGGTGGGGAGAATGTCCTGGATGCCCCAGGCATGCCCACTGCAACTACAGGGTCCTTATAAGTGGACAAAGAGTCAAGAGAGCGAGCCCGAAAGGTTGCAGCGTGAGAAAGACTCTGCGTGAGGTTGGTGGCTTTGAAGATGGTGGACTGGGACCTTGAGCCAAGGAATGTGGGTGACCTCCAGAAAGTGGAAAAGGCAAGAAAATGAATTCTCCCCTCCACCTGCAGAAAGGAATGCAGCCCTGGTGACACCTCGATCTTAGCTCAGTGGGATGCATTTCAGACTTCTAACCTCCAGAACTAGAAGATAATACACTCGTGTCAAGTCACTGAGTTTGTGGTAGTTTGTTCCAGCAGCAATGGGAAAGTAATGTAGAGGGTATATTTATATATTTTTAACTTTCCTAGATAACGCCGAACTCTTTTCAAAGTACTTGTCCCAGTTTTCACTCCCACCGTTAGCGTGCGAACGTTTCCGCTGCTTCGCGCCCTTGCCAGCACCTGGTGTTGTCAGGCTTCGAATGTCGTATCGTGTCTGATGACTGCGTAAGGATAGTTCCTGGTGATTCTAATTTGCATTTCCCTAACTACAAATGAGGTTAAGCAACTTCTAGTTTATCACCAAGAAATGGTTTATCCTTCAAACCAGGATTCTGCTAAGCGTTACAGGGGCGCTGTCGGCGATGCGGGAAGACAGGTGTGAATGAGGGCCACCCCGCTTACTGGCCGTTTGAACGCCCTTTATAGTAAAGTGCCCTGTAGCGTCTTGCGTTTTGCTGTCGGGCCGTCCGTCTTCTGCACTGGTTTGTGGGTGTTCCTTGCCTGGGCTGGCGGGGAACCTGTTGGGTGAGGTGTTGCATTTGTCTTCTGCTTTGTAGTTTTGTTTAAGTTTCCTCAGGGTGTCGTCTGGACAGGAGTTTTTCGTTTAAATGTATGTGACTCTATCAGCTCTTCCTCGTGTGTAATGCTTTTCATGTCTTGCTGAAGAAACCTTGAGGGGCCAGCCCAGTGACATAGTGGTTAAGTTCCCGTGCTCCACTTTGGTGGCCCACGGTTCACGAGTTCAGATCCCAGGGCTGGTCCTACACACCACTCACCAACCCATGCTGTGGTGGCAACCCACTTTCAAAACAGAGAAAGATTGGCACAGATGTTAGCTCAAGGACAATCTTCCTCACCAAAAAAAAAAAGGAAAAAAGAAACCCTGAGATCATGAAGATGCCCGCCAAAAGTAGACTTTTGCTCTTCACATGCAAGTGTTTAATCTATGTGGGACTGCTTTCTGGGGTGGACGCCCAGTTTCTCAGCGTGTTGACTGAAATGTCCGTTCCTTGCCCACTGCCCCACTGCTTGCGTGTACGCGCACACACACTCCTGCGGGATTTTGGGGCGGTTAGTGAGTCTATGGAGCAATTTGGAGAGTTGGCGTCTTCACAACATTGTCTCCAGTCCTTGAATGTGGACCTCTCCATTCATTTATTTATATTGGCTTTAGTCTTCTTTTAGACTTTTATTACAGAGAATTTGAAACTCACAAAAGTGGGGAAAATGCTAAAATGAGCTCCCAGGTGCCCATGACCCGCTTCAGGAGTCATCGGGATCCCACCACTCCTGTTTCATCTGCTTCCCCTCACCTTTAGTTTTTGGTTGATGAATTTGATTTTATTTATTTATTTTTTGCTGGGAAAGATTTGCTCTGAGCTAACATCTGCTGCCAATCTTTCTCTTTTTTCCTCCCCAAAGCCCCAGTGCACAGCTGTATCGTTTTTAGTTCTAAGTCCTTCTGGCTCTTCTACGTGAGCTGCCGCCACAGCACGGCTGCTGACAGACGAGGGCTGTGGTTCCACGTCTGGGAAGCAATCCTGGGCCACCGAAGCAGAGCACACAGAACTGTAACCACTAGGCCATCGGGGCTGGCTCTGGTTGATGAATTTTGAAGAAAATCCCAGGTATAATATTTCACTTATAAATACTTCAGTATTCAACTCTAACAGATAAACACTTATTTTTAGCATAACCACAAAATCATTATCAACCCCAACAAAATTTAATTTAATTTCTTAATAAAACCTAACACCAATTTGTGTTCATTTTCCCACATTATCTCAAAAGTGTCTTTTAGGGGCCGGCCCCATGGCCAAGTGGTTAAGTTCATGTGCTCCGCTGTGGCAGCCCAGGGTTTCACCGGTTCGGATCTTGGGCACGGACATGGCACCGCTCATCAGGCCATGCTGAGGTGGCATCCCACATGCCACAACTAGAAGGACCTGCAACTAAAATATACAACTATGTACTGGGTGGATTGGGGGAGATAAAGCAGGAAAAAAAAGTGTCTTTTACACTTGCTTGCTTGAATCAAGATCCCACATTGTGTGTGGTTGACTTGTCTCTTAAAGCCCTTTTAATTTAAAACAGTCCCCCCCTTCCCTTTTTCCCCCATGACATCCATTTGTCAAAGAAACTGGGTCATTTGTTCCCTTTATTTTTTATTTAGATCTCCTTTTTTTGTTTTTTTTGGGTTTTTTTTTGAGGAAGATTAGCCCTGAGCTAACATCTGCTGCCAATCCTCCTCTTTTTGCTGAGGAAGACTGGCCCTGAGCTAACATCCGTGCCCATCTTCCTCTACTTTATATGTGGGACGCCTGCCACAGCATGGCTTGCCAAGCAGTGCCCTGTCCGCACCAGGGATCCGAACCTGTGAACCCTGCGCCGCCAACCTGGAACGTGCAAACTTAACCGCTGCACCACCGGGCTGGGCCCCAAAGAAGTTAATTTCTAATGCAAGTTTGCTAAGTTTTTTAAAAAGTATAAATGGAATGTTGAATTTTAGCAATGCCTTTTTCTACGTTTATTGAGTTGATCATATAACCGCCTCCTTTGGTCTGTTCACGTGGGGAATTAAAGGGATCCCTAATGCGAAATGAACCCATCTCTGTCGTGATCTGTTGTCCTGTTTGTGTGTTGCTGGATTCAGGCTGGTAATACTTCCCTTTGGACTTTTGCGTCTGTGCTCCTGGGTGAGGCTGGGCTGCCGTTTCCTTTCTCTACTTTGGTAACAAAAGTTGAGCGAGCACCACGACATAAGCCGGGGGGGGACCTCCTGGTTCCCTTCCTGGAAAAGCATGTGTGAGACTGGAATGTTTTGTACCTCAAGCGTTTCATAGGACTGAATAGCAAAGCCTCTGAACCTGGAGTTTTCTTTGTGGGAACATATTTGACTATTAATTGAATTTCTTTTATGTTTATGGGAATTTTCAAGTTTTCTATTTTTTTCTTGAAATAATTTTGGTTAGTAGTGTTTTTCCAATAATTTTTCCATTGTCTCAATTTCCAAATTTACTGCCATAAAGTTGTTCATGACATGTTTTTGTTTTTTTAATGTCTTTTGTTCTGGTATGGATTATTTGTTCCTTCTCTTTTTATTTATCGGTTTCATTAGAGATTTGTTAATTTTATAAATATTTTAAAAGTACAAACTTTTGGCTTTGAGGAGCATCTCTATCACGTTTGTTTTTGTTGCATTAATTTCTAATCTTTTTTATTTTCTTCCTTCCACCTTTTCTGGGTTTATTTTGCATTTGTTTTTGTAACTTCTTAGTTGGATGTTGAGCACATTGATTTTTAGCCTGACTTCTTTCCTAATCTCTGTTCTGTCTGCTTTACCTACATTCAGTTGGGTATATAATATCTTCATTATAAGTCAGTTCAAGATATTTTATAATTTCCATTATGATTTTTTTTCTTTGACCCATAAGTTATTTAGAAGTGTATTTCTTAAGTTATTTAAGTTATTTAGAAGTGTATTTCCAAAATACACTTATATAAGTGTATACGTTATATAAAGTATACTTTATATAATAAATAATAAATAATAATATTAGTAAATAATAATTAAATAATAAAGTATAATAAAGTGTATTATACGTTATATAAGTTATTTAGAAGTGTATTTCCAAAAATAAGGTGGATTTATAGTCCTCTATTTGTTACTGATTTGGGCTGATTACTCTTGGTCAAAGAACGAGCTAAGTAGGGGGCCGGCCTGGTGGTGAGGTGGTTAAGCGTGCACATTCCACTTTGGCGGCCCAGGGTTTGTCAGTTCAGATCCTGGGTGCGGACGTGGCACAACTTGGCATGCCATGCTGTGACAGGTGTCCCACATATGAAGTAGAGGAAGATGAGCACGGATGTGAGCTCAGGGCCAGTCTTCCTCAGCAAAAAGAGGAGGATTGGTGGCAGATGTTAGCTCAGGGCTAATCTTCCTCAAAAAAACAAAAACGAAGAAGCTTTGTATGATTTTAGTCGTTTGGCATTGATTGAGACCTGCGTTGGGCCCAGCACACAGGTTCGTCAGTACTCCGTGCACGCTCTGAGGGAGCGCTTGCCGTTCTGCTGCTGCTGTTCGCGTTGTGTGTGTCCACAGGGCGCGACCTGCTGATGATGCTGTGTAAATGGGTGTCATTAAGGACTTGCTTTATCTGGTTTTGCTGTCAGTTCCTGAGAGAAGTGTGTTAAAATTTCCCACTAGCATTTGTACTTCTGGCTTTCTCCTGGGTCTGTCAACTTTGCTTTTCTTATTTGGTGGCCGTGTTATTGTGCACGGCTGGGTTGAAAACTGCGCTGTCTTCCTGGTGCGCTGACCGTCTGGCCCGCCGCGACCGTCTGCACCACGCAGCCGCTGCTGCCTCGAGCGTTTCGTCTGTTTCTAGGTGACTCCGCCAGGGTTTCTGCAGCCCCCTTCTCTGGACCTTTGGCGTGGGGTGCTTCTGTGAGCTTGCGCTGCCGTGTCTCTCACAGGAGGGAGTCAGCTTCTTCTTGTTGCTGCTGTTGGTTTTTTAATCCAATTTGGTAAGATCCTGTTCTTTAGCCTGGCCATGTAATCTGTTTATTTGCTTGCCTTCACTTAGATTTTGGCCTGATAATTTCTTATTTTCTTGTTGATTCTTCAAGGTTCATGAGACAATTAAAATACAATTTTACCCAGCTTTTTGGCTGTGCCGTGGCGGCCGGCACACGGGGTTTCTGTCCGGCTTCCTGGCTGTGCCGTCGCGGCCGGCACGTGGGGTTTCGGGGCTCGTTTTCCACCTGAGGGTCAGTCCGCACCTCCGTCCACAGCCAGTTGCCGCTCATCCTTCCGCTTCCCAGCCTCTGTCTGGTTCAAACTTTCTCCTCCCGTTTGCCCTGTTCTTGCAGAGTCGTGTGTTGGAAAAGCTGAACCCTTCGCTGTCGTTTTGGTGAGAATTTAAGAGGCAGCAGCGGAGGCCCCCTGTCTGGAGCTGCCGTCTTTTTAACTGGACGTTCAAATAGCATGTGGTTTAGAGTGATCGTCTTAAAGGAGCTGTGTGTGTGACGTGCCACCTCCCATCAGACTGTCGTCTGTTGAGGCCGCGAGGAGCACTGGGGCCCACAGCTCAGCGCAGACTGGGCTTGACCACCTTGTAAATGTCCCCTGAAGGCCCTGCCTTCACAGATCAGCGGGTTCACAGATGTTTTCCGGCGGGAGGAATGTTGTCGGTACAGTATTTCAAAAGAAGCTTTAAAATTCTGCCTCTGAGGACTTGAATGCACAATTGTTTGTAGCATTTAAAAAAGTTAACCACTGGCATTGATTTATTAATGATTTACCCAGGAAACGTTAGGCTTTGAAAATATTTTTCAGTGAATTGTTCTGAAGCAATCGCTAAATTAAGCAATGAAACAAGCTCGTCTACCGTTGTAGCATCTTGTGCATAATATCAACATTCTGCACCTAAGTTCTACACAGGCAAGCGGGAACATTCCCAAAATGATAACCACAATGTAACGAATATTTTGAAATTCCTTAAGAATTGTTTTTGAACTGTGGCTGTGTGGTGTGTTACAGAGAGAACATTAACAGGCTGGAACACGCACACGTCTTAAAGTTGCACACACCTGTGTAACCGTCACCCAAAACAAGCTACCGAGCGTCCCCCGCCCCCACTGTCCCCACAGCCCTTCCCCTCGGCTCCACTGCCTGCCTCTAACCTGGAAACCACCAGCGCGTCTGGTTTCTACCCCCGTCCATTAGTTTCGCTTGCTCTTGGTCTTGGTATGTCGTCTTCTGCGTCTGGCTTCCTTCATTTGACATAGTGTTTCTGAGATCATCCATGTTGTTGTGTGAACCAGATGTGGTTCTTTCTTACTGCTGAGTGTTACTCTATTGTATGAATGCACCGGAATTTGTTATCCAGTCTCATACCCATGGACGTTTGGGTTGGTCCCAGTTTGGGGCTGTTACGAATAAGATTGCTGTAAACATTCCTGTGCAAGTTTTTTTGTGGCTGTGTTTTTGTTTCACTTGGGTAAATACCTAGAAACAGGATTTCTGGGTCATATGGTGAGTATATGTTTATAACATTTAGTGTTGTGATTTAGTATTTAGTCTTTTTTATTTTAGGCATTCTAATAAGTGTGTGGTAGTATCTCATTGTGGCTTCAGTTGCCATTTCCCTCATGACTAATGAGGTTGCACAAAGTTTCATGAGCTTACTGGCCATTTGTATATCTTCTTTTGCCGTGTCTGTTTTAAAATTCTTGCCCCTTTTCAATTAGGGTTTGGGCTTTATGTTGTTGATATTTAGGAGCTCTTTGTATATTGTGGATACAAGACCTTTGTCAGATATGTGTGTGCTGCAAATATTTTTTCCAGGTCTATGGCTTATCCATTTTCTTAATGTCTTTTTATAAGAAAAATTGTTAATTTTTGTGAAATCCAATTTTCTAGGTTTTAAAAAAAATCTGTGATCTTGTTCATCTATGTTTTGTAATAATTTTTTTGTAGCTAATTTCTGCCCTCAAGATGGAAGAAGATGCTAGCCTATTCCCTGAAGGGGAGCTTTTGGACGGCGTCCCACTCGTGGAAGGTGGTAATAAAGGTCTTCTCATGAACAGCACACGTTTCAGCAGCGAGGACGACAAACAGCGTGCCTCCCAGACACCCCTGACGCCCTTTTTCAGAGAGACTACATCGTTGAAACACGTATTTTCTCTCAAAGAGGGAGCTTATGATATTCTGTCTTTAACTGAAAGAATAATAAATTATGGCACAGAATTTTGAAGGTGGCAGACCAGTTTTCTAGTTTCCAATGTCTCGATTGAGAAATCTGATGCCATTTTTATCCCAATCCTTTGAATGTGACCTATTTTTGTTTTCTTTTCCTGGAAGCTCTTAGATTAAAAAAAAAAATCTCTGATGATATGAAATTTTTCTAAGCTCTGCCTTGATTTGGGCTGGTGCTGGGCGCCAGGCAGGACAATTCGATCTGCAAGCCAATTTCCTCGGCTCTCAGCCCACCACCCCGGCTGCTGTTTCAGCGCTGTCGTCTGGTAGATTAGATGCCATTTGCTCACAAACTTCCCATCGTCTAAAATCGTGCAGCCTCCCCTCGTCCACCGCCTTCCCTCTCCTCTTCTCCTTGTGACTGTGGATTGGTGCCTTTTAGAGCCCCTTTTCAGTCATTTCTACTGAGATTTAATGAAAGAGTGGGAGAAACCCAATAGTTCAATTTGCCGTGTTTTGCTGGAAGTCTGCAGGGATTCTCTAAGACAATAATTAGCAAACTTTTCTTGTCAGGGATCCCCTTTACATTCTTAAAATTTATTTAAGACCAAAAGAGCTTTTGTTTATGAAGGTTGTATCTTTCAATGTTTACTGTATTAAAAGTTAAAGCTGTGAGGTTGGCCAGGTGGCGCAGTGGTTAAGTTCTCACGTTCCACTTCGGTGGCCCGGGGTTCACTGTTTTGGATCCCGGGTGTGGACATGGCATCGCTTGGCACGCCATGCTGTGGTAGGCGACCCACGTATAAAGTAGAGGAAGACAGGCATGGATATTAGCTCAGGGCCAGTCTTCCTCAGCAAAAAAGAGGAGGATTGGTAGCAGATGTTAGCTCAGGGCTAATCTTCTTCAGGAAAAAAAAATTAAAGCTGAAAATTTATATTTATTTACTCACTTAAAATAGCAATGATGACCCTGTTATATGGAGCAGACAGAGTCTGGTTTAATGGAGACACCTGGATTCTCACATCGGCATCTAGTTAGTCTGTTGTGATATCACATGTCATGTGGCCTCTGGAAAATTCCACTGTACACTTATGAAACAAGAGCGAAAAAGACAAATAATGTTTTAGTATTGTTACAAAAATGGTTCTGCCTTTGCAGACGCCCTGAAAGAGTTTTAGGGAACGCCCTAGGGTGCCCTGGACCACACTTTGAGAACCACTGCTCCGAGATGCCGTCACCACGGCTGCGCATCAAGTCTGAGGTGTAGAGATTTGTCCTCGAACTTTAGACTTGAACGTCTAGGTCTGCTTTCTCTGTGTTTAATTCTTGCCTCCATTTCTAGAAAAAGACAAACTAGAGGATGCAGAGTTTGAGGTGGAACCTCTTCCTCTGGAGGCTGAGGGCCGAGCCAACTTGGGATGCCACAGGTAATGCACCTGGGCAGCGGCTTGCCTCCACGGAAGGTGGAGGTGGCACGGGGGTAGGTCACGGGGAGGCCATCGCCGCACCACGGCAGCTGGTGTCCTTTCTTCATCAAGTCCACAGAAAGAGCAGATCGCTGATGCTGAGGGGAGGAAGAAGAAAGCCACCGTCCAAGAGAGAATGGAGGCACTGTACCTGCGGAAGAACTTGAGCCACCTGGATAAGCTGCACGAGGAGAAGGATCTTTTCATTCAGAAAACGAGGTGAGCAGTGGTCAAGGTGAGGAGGGCCCAGGTGAAGGGTGCGGAGGTGAGGGGTGCGGAGGTGAGGGGTGCGGAGGTGAGGGGTGCGGAGGTGAAGGATGCGGAGGTGAGGGGTATGGAGGTGAAGGGTGCGGAGGTGAAGGGTGCGGAGGTGAGGGGTATGGAGGTGAAAGGTGTGGAGGTGAAGGGTGCGGAGGTGAAGGGTGCGGAGGTGAGGGGGGCCAAGTGAAGGACGCAGAGGTGAGTGGTGGTTGAGGTGAGTGGTGGTTGAGGTGAGGGGTGGTTGAGGTGAGGGGTGGTTGAGGCGAGGAGTAGTTGAGGTGAGGGGTGGTTGAGGTGAGAGGCGCAGAGGTGGGTGTGGTTGAGGTGAAGGATGGTTGAGGTGAGGGGCAGTTGAGGTGAGGGGCCCCAAGGTGAGGGTTGGTTGAGTTGAGGGGTGTTTGAGGTGAGGGATGCAGAAGTGAGGGGTGGTTGAGGTGAGGGGCCCCGAGGTGAGGGTTGGTTGAGTTGAGGGGTGTTTGAGGTGAGGGATGCAGAGGTGAGGGGTGGTTGAGGTGAGGGGCCCCGAGGTGAGGGTTGGTTGAGGTGAGGGACCCCGAGGTGAAGGGTGGTTGAGGTGAGAGGCTGGTTGAGGTGAGGGGTGGTCGAGGGGAGCAGTGGCCGAGCTGGAGACACAGCCGAGCTGGCCCGTTGCCGCACCCCACTTCACTGCTGCCCGTTCCCATCACCTCTTTCTCGGCGTGAGTGTGGATGATGATTTTGCTGAGCGATTTGAAAGCCAGTTGCAGACCTTGTGCTCCTTCCCCCTGAACACATCGGCGTGTCCTGAAGGAATAAAGTTTGCCCACAGCCTCAGCCCCGGGATTCCGCCTGAGAAGGCTCAGAGTGTCCCCCTCGTGTGGCCATGGAGCAGCTCCGTGCCGCAGTGTCCTGCCGAGCCCGCGTCCTGAGCCCAGTCTTGCCCAGGCCCACACGCTGAGTGTGTGGTCCTGTCTGGTCTGCGTGCTCTAGAACGCTGATGAGCGGCTGCGGCCGGGTGCCCTTTGTGCAGCCGTCCCATGCCTGCCACCCCTCTTGCGGGGCCCTGCATGTGCCTGAGCTCAGCGTTTGTGCTGGTTCGTGTTGACTCCCCTTTGCTCTGAGGGCACACAGGTGGCCCCCTGGCAGGGTTTTCAGAAGACAGATGGACAAGGCCCTGCTCCCGCGCTGATTGTGTTAGAGGAACCCCTGGAAAAGATGAGGGACCGCGACCCCTGGCCTGAGTGAGGGGGAGCTGGAGGGAGATGACCCCAGCGTCTGTGAGGGGGCCTGGGCCTCGCCCCCCGGTCCCACCCCCTTCCTGAGGCCAGGGAGAGTTGGGGCACCCTGGGAGAGGGAGGCAGAGGGACTGGATTTCAGGGGCCGTTTGTCCAGATTCTGGCCTCAACTTTCAGAGAGGAGCTGCGTGCTTGCCGCCAGAGGATGGATCTCATCACCAAACAGCAGGAGAGCATGGCAGCCAAGGTGGCTGCCGAGAGAGAGGCCAAGAACACGTAGGTGGTCTGCATTGGTCACCAGGCGGGGCGGAGTCAGACTGTGCGTGAGGCGGGCGACCATGGGGCAGGCCGGTGCCCGGCAGATGGGCGTCTGTTCACCAGATCCTGCCATGTGAGAGCACTGGCTGCATTCAGGCGGGCGAGGGAGCAGCTGCCAGGGAAGGCCTCCTCAAGGAGGTGACCTCCAGGCTGGGAACCGGGTGACAAAAACAAGCTAACATGTGGCAATGGGGAGGGAGCATTCTGGGCAGTGAGCATGTCTGTGTGAAGCCCCGGGAGCTGCCCACAGGAAAGGGCTGGTGCCAAGGGGACAGTGTGGGAGGAGGGGCGCATTGGGGTTAGGGGAGGAAGCCTTGGGACTGTCTTTGCCTTGAGCGACCAGCAAGCGATGCAGGTGGCAAGACAAGGGGACAGGGCCAGGCGGGAGGAGAGCACATGCTTGCAGATCCACTTTCTCCGCACAGCCAGGTCCTCTGGTCAGTGTCCCTCTAGGCCGTTCTCACGGAGACAGCCCTGACCACTCCTGCCCTTAGAGGCAAGGTCTTGGGGGACATACACCTCTCTGTCCTGCCTGTCCCACCCCCACCCCAGCCACTACCATTTGTCCCAAGGTCCCCACGACAGGAGTGTGTATCGGAACCTAACGGCGTGGGGACTGGGTACGGTCCCGAGAGCCACACGTCCAGGAGTGAAGCGGGAGGTGAAGTAAGAGAATCCAGAGTGGGCTCAGATCCCAGAGGGGCTCTCAGGGGCTTATTGGCCGCCCCACTCCTCCTAGTCATTCGAGAGTGCGCTGGGTCCTTCCTGGGCCGAAACCTGGACTGGCCTGCTGCTCCAAGGGGCTGGCAACCAGCGGAGTCTGCTCCCTGGTCCTTGAAGGAAGATGAGAGGCCAGAGCAGAGCTGGGGGCTGAGGGGCGGGCTCTCTGGTGGCAGCGGTGCGTGCACGTCCACTCCCTCTGATCAGTGAGAATGGTGCACGAGAAGCCCTTCTGGACGCATGTTCCTGCCTTCCCTGTTGGCCTCTTGAGACAGATTTCTCTCTTGAAAATGAGGAGGCAGGTGGAGGCATCACCGAGCCTCAGGGGAGACCTGGGCAGAGGCCGCACGGGGCTCTTGGTGAGGCTGAGGCCCTGACGGGTGTTGCCGCTTTTCCTCCCGTCTCTGTGGTACTGCAGTGCAGCTGTGGGCCGCCTCCAGGCAGCGTCCAGACGCCTGTGCATGGAGCTGGAGAGCGAGAGAGCCCAGCAGCAGAAAACCCAGGCCACGCTGAAGGAGAGCGAGTGAGTGGGGGCAGGCGGGGCAGCGTGGCGAGGGGGTCCCGTCCGTCAGGCGTGCTCAGCCTCAGCAGCTCACTGGTTAATCCCGGGTCTGAAGATGAAGAATGAAACCTTGGACTTAACTCTCAAGCTGAAATTGAAAGGGAGCTCGCTAAATGAAGTCGTTGAGAGGCCGGGAGTCCACATTTTGGGGTGGCTGTGACCTTCTTAGAGTTTGTGAGCTCGGGACGCGTGAGATCAGCTTCGTTTCCCATTTGCTGCCCTTCGAGTTTCCGTAGAACAACCAGAACCATTTTAAAAAAATGCCTCACAACTTTTCTAGAAGCATCTCCCAGAAAGGAGACTCCCGCGTTGTTTTAAATGTTTTACTGGTCAGAGTTTGGGTTATAAACATCAGAATTGCCTCTAGCTAGTTTAAGCAAAAAAGGGCTTTAGTAAGGGGTGTAGGCAGCTCCCAGAGGGGCTGACAGAACCAGAGAAATGACTCCGGGCTGATCCCAGCAACAACTCCCAAACGCATAGCCCACCAGGACCCCCGGGGACCTGGTGCCCTGGCCAGAGGACCGGGGAGCTTGTGGCCAGGCTGCCTCATGCCCTGCTGCCCCGCACCGAGCCCTGGCCAGTCTTCCCTTACCCCCTGGCGCTGGCCGCACACGTCCAGGAAACGTGCTTCTGAGCCTTCCAGCCCAGCCACACAGGAAGGCACGAAGGGCTGGCCACGGCAGCCGGGGTCGCCGAGGGCCACCCCTCTGCCACGAGCGCCTCTCTCACAGTGGCCAGCAACACCCTGCCCCCAGCTCGGCCGGCTGGTAGGGCTGGAATCAGCCTCAACTCATTCCTCTTGTGACTTAGGCGCAGTCCGGCCGTCTCCCCGCCGTCCTTCGGGCTCAATCGTGAGGAACCCGCCATAAACCGATGGGGGGGCAGGGAGAAAGGCGCAGATGAGGACGGCAGCTCTGTCCTGAGCAAGGAGGACTGAGGGTGTTTGCGGTCCTCGTTCTGACAGCTGGCCTGGAGGCGGGACTCCCCCGCCAGCACCAGAGCTGGCACACCCCGGCTGGGCTGCTTCCTCGGGTTGCTGTGCTCATCCCCTAACTTGCTTTTTTATTGAGGTCACAATAGTTTATAATGTTGTGCAACTTCGGTTGTACATTCTTATTTGTCAGACACCATATAAATGTGGCCCTCCACCCCTGTGCCCACCTCCCAGCCCTCTTCCCCTGGTAACCAGTCAACTGTTCTCTTTGTCCGTGTGTGTGTTTATCTTCCACACATGAGTGAAACCGTGCAGTGTTTGTCTTTCTCAGTCTGGCTTATTTCGCTTAACATAATACCCTCAAGGTCCATCCGTGTTGTTGCGAATGGGGCAATGTTGTCTTTTTTGTGGCTGAGTAGTATTCCATTGTGTATATATACCCCATCTTTAGTCATTCATCAGTCAATGGGCACTTGGATTGTTTCCATGTCTTGGCTAATGTTAATGATACTGCGATGAACATAGGGGTGCACGTGTTACTTTGGATTGTTGATTTCAAGTTGTTTGGATAGATACCCAGTAGTGGGATAGCTGGGTCACGTGGTATTTCTATTTTTAATCTTTTGAGGACTCTCCATACTGTTTCCCATAGTGGCTGCCCCAGTTTGCACTCGCACCAGCAGTGTATGAGGGTCCCCACTTCTCTACACCCTCTCCAACATTCGTTGTTTTTTGTTTTGGTGAATGTCCACTAACTTTTTCAAAAAACTTTTTAATTTTGAAATAATCAACCTCACAGGAAATTTGCAAAAATGGCACAAAGAACCCCCATGTCCCCTTGACCCCAGTGACATCCTTTACAGATGAGTGTCCCACCTGAGGGGTTGCCTGGGGTTGTCCCAGCTCCAATCGGGGACCCCTCAGTGCTCCACGACACTCACAGCCTTGATATTTTTGAAGATTAGGGACCAGCAAAGGTCCCTGACGTCGCTTTGTGTGATGTTTCTGTGCGACTGTTGGCTCGAATGTGCCAGGTGACGCAGGTCCTCCCGAGGACGCGTGGCGGTGCTGGGTCCTGTTTTGGGGGTGCTCAGATTGCTTGGCTGGCATGGTGTCTGCAGTTTCTTCAAGGCGGAGTTATACTTTTCCTCGGGAAATTAACATGTAGATACTTCGAGATTGGAAAATCCAAAGCTCATCCCCTTCCAGGCGCTGGTTTTCCTTTGTGGATGTTTCTTGCCTGAATCAGTTGTTTGATGATGGTTGTGAAGTGCGATCTCCTGATTCATCATTCCTTCTAGACACATGAGTTAGCTTTCTCCTGTAGAGAACAACCTGCTCCCCTCCACGTTTATTTACTGTCAGGGCAGGCTCTTCGGTTTCTCCTTTATTCAAGGGGCTATAATCCATTCCACCATTATTTATTTGGATGTTCCAGTCACCCCAGATTTGGCCAGTGGGGCCTGTTTCGGCTGCCTCCTGTGTCCTTCAGCATGTCCCTGTCGTCCTTTTAGCACTTTCTGGCACAACGACGTGCTCCCAGCCCCCTATTCATTCTGGCCCCAGCCCCGGACCCAACCAGTGTCCGAGAAGCCCTGGTTCCTTCCAGTGAAGCACGGAATTTAGGAACCTAGAGCTGGGTGCTGGCTGCACCCATGGCTGCCAGGGCGATGCGGCAACCAGGCCCTCGCAGTCGGCAGAGCTAGGAAATACGTGCGCGCCTCTGTCTGTAGTGAAACCATGAGTTCACGTCTGGAATTCCAATTCCAACAAACCGAGCTTCATCCATCCTCCCCATCTGTGTCTGCTCCTCCCTTCTCTGACAGCGAGAAACTTGCCTCATGTTGACCTCGGCGTTCTCACTGATTTCTCCATCCCTACCTGTGGCCAGTCTGCTGACCCCATCCAGCTGCCGCCTGCTCGAACACTCGTCTCCCGCGACCCTGACCCAGCAGCCTGCCTGCCTGCCCTCCTCACACGGGCCTGGCTGCTGCCAGAGGGTCCATTCACTTTCTTTATAGGCAACGTGAAAATGCATCCCGACCCTCACTCCTAAATCTCCTCAGTCAGCAGTCTCCACCCTGAGGCAACCACGGAGGTGTTCTCTGTCCCTTTGTATTCAATGTATTGTGTGCAGAACCTCACAGTGTGGACTCTGCTGTGCCTGGGCTCTCTGCTTGGCACAATGAGTCTGGATGCTGCCATGTCCTTGTGTATCAGGAGTCTGAATGCAGCCATGTCCTTGTGTGTCAGGAGTCTGGATGCAGCCGTGTCCTGTGTGTGTGTCAGGAGTCTGGATGCAGCCGTGTCCTTGTGTGTGTCGGGAGTCTGGATGCAGCTGTGTCCTGTGTGTGTGTCGGGAGTCTGGATGCAGCCGTGTCCTGTGTCAGGAGTTGAGCCCAGAGAGCATACAGTCATGGTCGGGGTGGGCGTGGTTTTCTCTGACCTGAGACTCTGTGCAGCTTCCCAACCAGCCACGGCACCTAAGGACTTACGCCCCCAGCGGGGCTGCCGTGTGCAGTGGGACCAGCTCAAGACCCTTCTAAATTGCATTCGTTTTCAATCACTGCAGTAATAAATCCACAGGAGTTAGTGGCTTGACACAGCACCCCTTTGTTGTTTCACATTCTGGAGGTGGCATGCCTGACACAGGTCACAGGGCTCAAATCCAGGTGTCAGCAGGGCTGCCTTCTTTCTGGTGGCTCTAAGGAAAAATCCGCTTCCTGCCTTTTCTAGCATGTTGACACCATCTGCATTCCTTGGTTTCTGGCCCCTTCCTCCATCTTCAAAGCCAGCAATGTCATCACTCTGACCTGCTTCCATTATCATCCTTCTGCCTGGCCACACTAGTTATTCAGAGGAAGTGGGACTTCAGTGGGATCTCCATCTTTTTCAGGACTAGGGACCTCATAATCGGCCCTGCCAGAAATCCCTGTGCCCATCCATGCCAAGACTCCCCTGCTCACTTTGGTACCAGCCCACCTCCCATCCATCCAAGGCCGCCTCTCGGCTTCTGTCTCCCAGGGCTGCACCTTCCAGTGCAGCAGGGAGCCCTTTTCAAAGGCAGCGTCTGCACCTGTCCCTGGCATGTCTCAGAGTGCCGCGGCAGTCCCCCGGCCAGGGGAGCAGGTGCAGGTGAGCACCTGTGGACACTTGGGAGTGTAGGACAGGTTTGATCAGGCTGGGCTGGTGTGATAGGTGGCGGGGGCCGGCGGTGCTGCTAGTGGAGGGAGCCTCAATCTCCGCTGCCTGCGGGCCCGGAGGGCTCCTCAGAGGAGGAGCTGACCCACTGTGGCATTGTCAAAACTTGGTGCCCGGGCCTTCCCAAATCCCTGGTGGACGCCCCACGGAGGGCGCAGCCCAGGCCTCCAAAGTACCTCTAACTGACACACAAAGTACTTCTTGTTTGCAAGGAACACCATGTGGCACCTTGAGATCCGGGAGGGGCAGCTTGAGGACGTCCGCAGGGCTGCCCAAGAAGAGGCGGCAGCTGTCAGGAGGCACCTCCAGGTGCAGGCAGCCGAGCAGCTCCGCAAGGAGAAGGAGACCCTGAGGACAGTGGAGAGGAGCCGGCTGCTGAGGGTCAGGTGGGCTGGGCCTGCAGGCCGCTGGCCACTTCCTCTGCTCTGCCCTCCTCACTGCGCCGCGCCCCCCAGCCCGGTGGTCTGTCATCCCAGCAGAGCTTGCTCCCCACCCCGCCACCGCCCAGCGTGAGAGCCCCACGCCCTCCCCACGCCCCAGTGGAGCCCCTGAGGGCAGCCTGCCCCTCTCTCTGGCCTTCCACCCGCTGTTCTTCCCGGACACCCTCTGCCCAGCTTGGGCTGCTCTCTTGCAGCCCGTCCTCCGTGAGGCTCAGTACATTGCCCAGGGCAGGCCCTGTCAGGGGTCTCGGCTCAGCTAGGCTCCTGGGCAGGGCAGGGCGGGCGCCCCCAGATGTGTCACAGGCCATTGGAACCACACTCCCCCCGCTGAAGGGGCACCTCCTCTTCTGGCCGCTGCACACGTGTCCTCCCCCTGCTCCCAATCCCCATCTAGTCCAACCCCCTGCAGAATTTCCTGCTGCTTCTCTGGAATCTCAGTCCCTGGACACACGCAGGGCCCTTCTGCCATCCCTGCTCACCTGCTGGTCCTCGTCCTGCCCGAGTGCCGGCTCTGCCCAAGGTCCCCTCCCCACCCGCAGTGCCCGTGCCGGGAATGGGTGCTGAGCAGAGGAGCACGGCTCTTCGGGACGCCTGTGTGTGGGTGGGCGGGGTGCCTGAAAGCAGATGCTCCTTGTTCTGTCCCCACGGCCCCGCAGGAAGTCCGCGTACCTCCAGAAGGAGCACGGGCTCAGGCACCAGAAGCTCGTGGAGGACGCCCAGAAGAACCACAGGGTCGCTGTGAAGTTCCTCAAGGCCTCCCTGGGAAGGTAGCGTGTTCTCTGCCACAATCTTTCTTCCTGTCGGACCCTGGAGGAAAAATGGAAGAATGTGGGTCATTTGCCTGTGTTTTGAAATTCTCTAGTTTTATTATTAAATCGTCACCTTATCATCAAAAAAGAATAAATCTACATTTTTAGTTTGGAGCTGGTTCCCTGCTCATTTTCAGAGAAGACCGGCCACGGGTGCGATGAACCTCCAGTCTAGAGAAACCTGGTTCAGACTTTCCTCGTCGTAATTTCTGTGCTGCCACAACACTTTCTCGTTTACCTTTAATATTGTCACATTTACTTATTTCACTGGTGGCCGTGACCAATGCCCAAGGCTCCTTCCACTCTGTAATTGCACACCAGCGTGGCCGCAGTACCTCCCGACTGAAAAGGAACCTTCCTCCAGGATCCGCGAGCGAGAGAGGAAGGAGGAGCTGGAGTCCCGCGAGCAGATGCAGAGGCGCATGGATGCCGTGCTGGCCCTGAAGAACAGCATCACCGCGAACCGGGTAGGCGTCCCGACTCCCACCTCCACCCTCCACCCTCGACCCTCGACCCTCGATCCTCGACCCTCGACCGCCCATCCTCCACCCTCCACCCTCCACCCTCGACCCTCGACCCTCCACCCTCGATCCTCGACCGCCCATCCTCCACCCTCCACCCTCGACCCTCCACCCTCGACCCTCCACCCTCCACCCTCAACCCTTGATCCTCGACCGCCCATCCTCCACCCTCCACCCTCGACCCTCCATCCTCGACCCTCCACCCTCGACCCTCCATCCTCGACCCTCCACCCTCGACCCTCCAGCATCCACCCTCCGGCCTCCGCCCTCTGCCCTTCGCCCTCTGCCCTCAGCCCTTCGTCCTCGACCCTCCGTCCTCCGTCCTCGACCCTCCGTCCTCTGCCCTCCGTCCTCCGCCCTCCATCCTCCACACTCCGTCCTCGACCTTCCGTCCTCTGCGCTCCGTCCTCGGCCCTCCGTCCTCGGCCCTCCGTCCTCAGCCCTCCGTCCTCCGTCCTCTGCGCTCCGTCCTCGGCCCTCCGTCCTCTGCGCTCCGTCCTCGGCCCTCCGTCCTCCATCCTTGACCCTCCGTCCTCGGCCCTCCGTCCTCCGTCCTCGACCCTCCGTCCTCCGTCCTTGGCCCTCCGTCCTCTGTGCTCCGTCCTCGGCCCTCCATCCTCCATCCTCGGCCCTCCGTCCTCCACCCTCCGTCCTCCGTCCTCGACCCTCCGTCCTCTGCGCTCCGTCCTCGGCCCTCCGTCCTCCATCCTCGGCCCTCCGTCCTCCACCCTCCGTCCTCCGTCCTCGACCCTCCGTCCTCTGCGCTCCGTCCTCGGCCCTCCGTCCTCCATCCTCGGCCCTCCGTCCTCCACCCTCCGTCCTCCGTCCTCGACCCTCCGTCCTCTGCGCTCCGTCCTCGGCCCTCCGTCCTCCATCCTCGGCCCTCCGTCCTCCACCCTCCGTCCTCCGTCCTCGACCCTCCGTCCTCTGCGCTCCGTCCTCGGCCCTCCGTCCTCCATCCTCGGCCCTCCGTCCTCCACCCTCCGTCCTCCGTCCTTGACCCTCCGTCCTCTGCACTCCGTCCTCAGCCCTCCGTCCTCCGTCCTCTGCGCTCCGTCCTCGGCCCTCCGTCCTCCGTCCTTGACCCTCCGTCCTCCACCCTCCGTCCTCCGTCCTTGACCCTCCGTCCTCCACCCTCCGTCCTCCGTCCTCTGCGCTCCGTCCTCAGCCCTCCGTCCTCAGCCCTCTGTCCTCCATCCTCTGCGCTCCGTCCTCGGCCCTCCGTCCTCCATCCTTGACCCTCCGTCCTCTGCGCTCCATCCTCCGTCCTCGGCCCTCTGTCCTCCGCCCTCCATACTTGACCCTCCATCCTCATCCACATGCCTGCCCTGCCCCACCGTCCTGCGCCCCTGCTCCTTGGGAAGTGAGCCCCATATCCTCAGACTCTCCACTCAGGGCCCCCTGGGAATTGACTGAGCTTCTACGGCAGATTTCCTGCCTGTGGGTCTGTGCTGGCACCAGCCAGGCACCAGATTCTGGAAGGAAGAGAGCAGTCCAGCCCCGTCCTCATGGGGCCTAGTCTTGTGAGAAAGCTTTGATGAGGCTCCAGGGGGACCAGGGCTCGGTGAGGCCATGTGCTGGGGTCCAAGGCCTTCCTGGAGGAAGTGACATCCTGGGCCTGAGGCCTGAGAATGTGGCAGTTAGACCAGGAAAGCAAAGAGGGGAAGAGGGAACAGTGTCTGTAAAGGCTCAGAGGCTAGAGAGAGCATGCCTCTTGGAGGAAAGCCCACCATGGTCAGGAGACAGGAGGGAGCAGAAGGAATCAGGCTAGTCCAGCTGAGCTGAGCTGCAGAGATGCCAGGAGTCTCTAAGGGTGGGTTTCGAGGGGGGAGGGCAGCAGCGGGGGTCGGGGGCGGGTGAGTGGCAGTGATCTCTGCAAACATCTGCTCAGGCTTCTCCACTAGGATTGAAAGATACCCATCCAACAGAGAGCTCCAGTGTGTGTGTGTGTATGCATGTGCGTGTGTGTATACACGCCTGTGCAGGTGTGCACACCCATGCTAGCACTGTAACTTCAGTGTCTCTATTCCCAAGGAGACACTCCGGAAATTTCAAGTGCGGGGCCAGGCCAGGGCAGAGCTGGCTGAGCAGAAAGCCCAGGCCGAGAAGGGGGCGATTCTGGCCCAAGGTGGGGATGCTTTTAAGCACCTTTTCCATCAACGCCGGCGCCAGGAGCTGGAGGCCCAGAAACGGTGAGGGCATGAGGGCGAGGGGGCGTCCCAGGGAGGTGCCTGCCTGGGAGGTGGGCGGTGCATCCGTCACAACTAGCAAAGCTGCTTCTCTCCTTGGGCCTCCCTCACCCAGGAGGGGCCTGCGATGTGCAGGAATGGGGGCTCCAGCCCTCCCGGCACACCCTGCTGTCTAGGCCCTGGCAGGCGAGGACTCTCCTGGGCCTCAGAGCACAGCCCCTTCCCTGTGCCCCTGGCAAGGCCCCCAGGTTCCTGGCCTGGTCTTCACGACACTGCTCCCTGTCTCTGGGCTCTGCAGTTACCCCAGGGCCACCTCCCCCATCTGGCTCCTCCCCAACGTGGGGCTTCACTTTCTGGTCTCCCCTACACCTGCGCTCAGTGCTACCTTCTCAGTGCACCCGGCACCCCAGTCATTCACCCTGAGCCCCCCTCAGCCCTGCAAGGTCCCTGTACGCAGCTCCCCAGACTGCACCCACCCTGAGAAATGAGGGTCCTCACTGGGCCTCCTGCCCCCGGCGCCCCGCAGGACTGGGCTCCCTGACAGCCAAACGTCAGGTTTCAGCCCCTGCCCGGCTCTCCCGCCTCACCTGTCTGCTTTTCCAGCCTTGCACGTGATGTTCTGGTCATTTCCATGTTCTCTTGGTGCCTTTTTCTGAGGCAGCCCTCATCCCGGAGGGCTCGTCCCTTCCCCACTCCCAGCCCAGATCCCCATTTGTGGTCACTGTTAGGATCTGCCCAGGTGCAGCCTCCTGGCCCTCTCGCTGGGGACAGCATCTCTCATCTGGGAGTTGCAGTGCCCTGAATGTCACCACAGGGTTTGGCATCACCCCGCCCTGATGGGGGCTCCTGGGGCAGCTCTGCCCACCTCCCAGTCCTTTAGTCTGCTCCAGTCCCTTAGCCAGCCTGCAGGTAGGAGGCACCAGTAAGGAGCAGCTTGAATGAATGAATGCATGCATGAATGGCCTCAAGCCCCGATGCTGCCCTTGGCTTGACCTCAGTGGGGGCACCGCCAGCTGCCAGCCTGGAAACCAGAGCAGGGGGCAGCTTGAGGGTCAAGGCTCATTGTGGAGACTGCACCGGGCTGGGCCGGAGGTTCAAGTGCTGGGTCTCCACCTGGCGACCCTCCTGGCTTCCCCTGCTGGTCACACGGGAGCCTGGGGCTCACTCCAGGACCAGCTTGCTCCAGCCCCGAGCCCGTCCAGCTGGAGAAGAGCCAAGGGCCAAGCTCCCGCCCAGTACACATCTCTCCTGGGTCCCGTGGGCAGCGAGCCGCTCACTCGCAGCCGGGGCGGTGTTTTCCCGTAGTGCCTTTGAGGAGGAGCAGAAGCTCAGAAAGCAGGAGATTGTGCATCGCATTTTGAAAGAAGAGGCTGAGGAGGAAGACAGGAGGAAGAAACGGCACCCCCCAACCAAGCCCGAGGGCCGGCGGACTGTGAGGGACAAGACGTGGAGCTACATCTCCGACTTCTGCGAAGGGAAGAGCGCAGCTGTGACCCCCTGCCGCCCGCTGGTACGCCAGATGCCCCCAGTCCACAGTCTTGCCCTCCCGAGGGGCACACAGAGGACCCCAAGGCCTGGCCAGGTCAGGGCCTTGCTGCAAATCATGCATGAACCTCTGCAACTAAAGTCAAAACCGAGAGACCGCCCACCCCGCCGCAGGCCGACCCGTCTTCCCTGCTCTCCGTGTCCCCTCCGAGAGGCCCGGTCAAGGGCACTCAGCCTCCGGGTTTGCGCGGCCTCATGCCTCATCAGGCGGCCAGTGGCGACACCCCGAAGGTTCCCTCTAAGGGACACAGGGTAGCCTCACAGCTCCTCTCTGCAGAGGCGGGGCGCAGGTCACCCGGCATCCACCTGGGAGCCATCCTCTCCCTGGTGATGGCTCAGGTGCAAGGGGCCAAGCCGCGGGAGCCATGCCCTGGGGACACCCACAGCCTTGGGTCCCTTCAAGGTTGGCTCAGGCCACCTTACCTGTCCCCAGGAAACAGCCAGGCTGAGACTAGGGGTCACTCACGGGTGGGGGGAGTTGTGCACCATTCTCGCCCACATGTGTGTCATCCCCTTGGTGCGAATGCTCTCAAGCACCCGCCGATGCACAGCTTTCCTCTGACCCTTCATTCATGCATTCACTCAGTCATCCCTTTGTACTGAGGGTCGGCTCTGTGCCGGTCGCCCATGTGGGTAACTGTCTACCTGTCCCTGAGGGTGTGAGGTAGGGACATCAGGACCCCTCCTGAGCCCCATGTAGCTCCTCTGCTTCTGCCCTCGTGCGCCCTAAAACCTGAAGGTCAAGGTCACTGACTCCCACTAACTCAAAGCCCCTCGACTTCTTCGTGTTTGGCCCCTGTGGGGTCTTCACTCTGCTCCGCAGTTCATTTTGGGTCTTTCCTGTTTCCCAGGCCCACCGCGCCTGCCCTCTGCCCCTCGTCCACCCCTCGTCCACCCCTCCATGAGCTCTTCATACCTGCCCTTCCTCCCCTCGTCCTCTCTCTTGCGGCCTCTGATCCATGGCCCACCTGAGTTGGTCACCCCGTGTCTCTGCTTCGACACCGGCTGTTTCCCTGGGAGCCTTTCTCACAGTCGCAGCAACGTCACCCCCATCTATGTCCTTATTTCTTGTCTGGTGTCCCCTGGAGGGAGGACCCGTCTGGCTGGCTCCCCGCGGTATCCCCACTCCTGGCACAGACCCAGCGCTCTGGCCGGAGGAGCTGACCAATGAGGCCCCGGCCCAGAAGCAGGCGTCCTCCGGGATCGACCACAGAGCGCTTTTCCAGGCAGTGGCTTATATCAGGGAAGGTTAGAAATGAGGAGCAGCTAAGGGTCAGGGAAGAGCGTTCTGGCACATCCATAAGTTAGAGCATTTTGTAGACTCTTGAGGACACTGGAGAAAAATATTTAATGGTGTGTAAAGATACTTGTTATACTTTAAATGGAAAAAGTTACCAAACAAGTATGTGCTCTAGTCTCCAAGAAAAGAAAAAAAGAACCGAAGAACAGTGCCGGGTTGTCGACAGCCATGTGCCCGGGAGTTCCAAGGATCCTTATTTTCCTCTTGCTGGGTGTATTTTCCCTATTTTCTGGAATTAGCTGTTCTCTTCCTCTTCCTGACTGCAGGAAAATGACACTTTTGCACACCCCAAAACCCCTTGGTTAGTGGAAGCCATCTCCAGTGACTCCGTCCAGGTGGACCCTGGGAACGTCAACTGGGAGGATGAAACACTGGCTGAGCCAGAAATCTCCGGACTGTGGAATGAAGACTATAAGCCATACCAGGTAACTGCTTTGTGCCTTTGGATCCCTTGCGGTTGGCCCTGGGCTGTGTCTCCAGCTCCCGCGCATCCTCCCTGTCCTGGCGACCTGCTGACCTGCTCGGGGCCTGGCTCACGGCTGCTGCTCCGTGGCTTCCCCAGCTGTGGCTACAGCCTGCAGCCTTCTGCACCTGCCACACTTGCCACTGCCCGGCCGCCTCCCTCCTCCAAACTTCAGGCCCTTCTCCCTTCGCAGAGCCGCCGCGAGAACCAGTGTGCGAACCACGATCCCAGATCCCCCGTCATCCCTGCGCCACCACCCGGGCCTCGGTGCTCGGCCACACACAGAGGGACACAGCCGAGGGGCTCCCGGGTTGGGGGAACAACTCCTAATTGCTCTGCTTACTGTCAGGGAAACATTTCTACAAAAAGGCATGAGTCCAGACTTTCTCTGGCAGCCTTTTTCAAGAAGCATGCGCTGCCCAGAGCCTGGTCGTCCCGATTCTGGACGAGCAGACAGCTCCGTGAGTCGAGGAGTTAGTGAGCACCTCTGCACCGGCAGGAGAGCTGCCGCGGCTGCGGCTCTGTCTGTGCACGGGCCAGCCATGGCCAGGCCGCCCCCGGGAGGGCATCCCCCTCCCTGCCTGAGGACAGATTGGCTCCCGTTGCTATAAGGACAAAGTCATTTGGTTCTGCTGTTTCTGAGGAAGGCTGGCTGACCAGGCCCTCAAACCAGAGTGGGGCAGGACGGAGCCCGTCGCTCCCGACTCAGGACCCATCGCCCTCACTGCTCCACTTGGCCCCGGTCACTTACGCATGGGGAGGGGGGGTGGCGCCTTGACAACAGGTCATCAGGCTGGCCTCCCACCTGGGAGAACCCTCCTGGCGTAGAGCCGAGGCCCCAAATAGACTCAGAACTTTCAGGAAGGAAAACTTCAGGACTGTCTTCGGTCTTAATGTTGGTCAACGGACACCTTTATTTGTGCCACTTGAGAAATATTGCTTCCTGTACAACTTTTAGGAAACTTTTCTCTTGACCTTATTTAAAATGTAGAAAATTCCCCGTCTACCATGATTTCCCAGAAATCTGCCAGGATCCCGGACATTTCCACTCTTCTTCTCGTGTTGTCTTTCTCTGAAGTAAGGACCACCCGCCTTGCTCATGTCAGGCTTTCTAAGTGACCCGCTAGATGCCGCACATTTCCCTTGGCACTGGCCACTCTGGGCTCTGTGCTGTTAGCTTCTGTCACTCACAGACTGCCCCTGGCGACCTCAAGCAGAGAGCGTCTCACACAGCCTGGGCATGCTCTCGAGCTGGGCCACTGTCCCTGTGAAACCCCAGGTGCCCAAAGAGGATGTGGACCGGAAGCCTGTGGGCGGGACAAAGATGGACAAGGACATCCTGGCCCGCACCATGGAGCAGCTGCGCGGTACGGTGATCCACAAGCAGGTGGTATCTGGGCGTGAGTTCAAAGGGCGGCCCTTCAACAGCAAACCCAAGCTCATCCACTTCAAGGTGAGCCCACCGCGGGTTCCCCCAGGTCACAGAGCGGGAGGGACACAGCAGCCCCAGGAGGGTGCTGTCCTGGGGCGACAACAAGCCTCAGGCCTCCTGGGAAAGGTACATGTTGGGGTACTCACTGGCCAGGCCCATCCTGATGGGCAGGTTCCAACCCACGTGTGGTGACCCCAGGGAGTCCAGCCCCAAAGGAGCCATTTCAGGGGGTGCCAAGTGGGGTCGAGTGAGTGAGGAGTGGGTGTTCATCCATCATGTTTGCCAGACTCTGCAGGAGAGAAGAGGCTGCGCCCCTGGGACACCACACCAGCCCTGATCCATCAGATGGGGGCCGGTGCCTGTGCTCTTGGAGCCTTCCCCTCCAATCCGACCGCTGGTCCCCAGGGTGGCAAGGGCTCCTACGAGGCAGGCGCTCCTGCCCTGCTCTCCATCTGCCCCATGGAGGGCAAACTTGGGAACTGTTCCCGCCCTCCTAGGATGCTCGTGAGCTCGTCACTGTTAGAGACCGTCCTCTCCACGTCAACCCCCCGCCCTCTTCTGCACATGGCACCTAGCGTGCACAGCTGCAGCTTCCCTGCGTCGCACTCTGAAGCGGCCACCAGAAAGCTTTGAGTAATAACTCTCTGATTTTTCTAGGACTTTGATATTGGCAAAGTATACAAAAAAAAGATCACACTGATCAATGCCACCTACACAATTAACTACTGCAAGCTGGTAGGCGTGTCAGAGCAGCTCAAAGACTTCATCCACGTCGAGTAAGAGGACGCTGGGCTCGGGCAGGGACGGTGCCCGTGACGGGGGGTTTCGGGTCCTGCATGCTCAGAAGTGTGGCCAGGCCTTTACGCTTGAACAACACTGTCTGCATGGAACTTCCTGAGGGTTTGTCCAGGCGGCTCCTCTCTTCTGGGCCGAAGTTGTCCAGCCCAGGGCTCCCTGATACGCGGCCTGGGGGCCCACGTGGTCCTTCTTTGTCACTGTGCTTTGATGTGGGCGCTCTGGGTGAGATTTCCCGGGCAGCTGGTGAGACTTTTCAGCGTGAGGGTTAAGGCCTTCTTCTGTCTCAGGACCGCCTGTGCGAACTCCACGTTTACGCTTTGCTCTGTTCCAGTTCCAGGTTTCCGTCTTCGAGTCCCCGCTGACGCACTGTCGGACCTTCCTTTCTGTCTGTGAGTTTCCTTCTGGTCCACTTTACTGGTTTCTTCTTTTCTGTTTTATTTTTCCCTCCTTTTCTCATGGTGACCTTCATTGTGGCTTCTGCAGTCTCTCTTTTCTTCTGCTTTTTGCCATTTTGCTTGCATTTTTAAGAAAGTTTTTTCTCTTCCACCCCCTGATTTCTTCCAGCTTTTTGTTGACGGGTTTCGATGCCCAAGATGGATCTGGGGTTCCAGTTGGAGAGTGCCTGCTTCTCTTATGTCCTGAGGAGCAGGGGAGGGTCCTCAGGCCCAGCCCCCAAGGGGCCGTCCCCTCTCCCCGCCAGTGCCTTCCTGGGGCTGCCCCAGGCAGGTGCTCCCACGGCCTCTCCCAGTGACCCCTGCTCACCGACTGGGCTCTGGTGAGTCTTGCCCGCATGGGACGTGCTGTTCTCTCCTGGGGTCTGATTGTAGGTCAGACACAGCATCTTTGCGCCCTCTTCTCTCTTCCTTCCACCTTTCCAGACTCTTCAGCTCTCTGCAGAGGCCTGCGTGGAGAGCTGCTGCTGGAAATTGGTGTTTATTACCAATTTCTTCTGTCTCCAGTCACGCTGACTGCACAGTTTACTGGTGGTCTGCTTGTTCTTGCGGCCATGGGGGTTTCTGCAGGGTGTCTGCGGGCCCAGGTTCAGCCGGTCATCGTGACCTTGGCTACCCTGACGGTTACCGTCTCTGGACTTGTTGAGGACACCCCTCTGTCTTCTGGTTTCTGCTGTTGTCCAGGAGTCGGCCTTCATCCTGTTCTTTGTAGGTTTTCTTTAACGTCTATTGTCTCAAGACATCCTTGCCTTTGGGGCCCTGCGATTCCCCCATGAGTATCTGGTGGGGACTGACATTCTTGGACCTGCTTAGAACCACCGTGCTTCCCAAATCGGAGGAGTCCCGTCTTTGAGCAGCTGTGGACATTCCTTGGCCCCCTCTCCCAGTCCCGCCGCTTTGTCCTTCTGTCCTTTCTACCTGAAGCCTTTCTATTCCATGCTCCGTGTCTCTTGACGCCTGTTCCATGCTTCCCATCTCGCCGTCTCCCTGGGCAGTGCTCCAGGTGTTTCCTCGGGCCTGTCACTCAGCCCACCACCTCCTCTTTAGTTGTATCTGATCGGCTGTTGAACTTGCTTATGAGGTCTGCTATTTCAGCTTCCATATTTCTCATTTCTAAACATGCCGAGTCCTTTTTCGGATCCATGGGTGTTTCTTGACAGCATCTTGCTCTTTCTCACGTCTGTGATTCTCCGTTGATGTCATTAGTCATTTAACGTCTCTGTTCGGCGCATCTGTCTTGAGCTCATGGGGTCAGCCCTGCGCCCTGCTGCACGGCGGCCACAGCACTTTCAGATGTGGGCCTCTCACGTTCTCACCGGTGGGACTCCACGTGCGGGCTTCTGTGCGGTCTGCACCACCACGCTTCCCTCCCATCAAATGCGTTTTGGATTTGCTTCTCCCGGCACCATGGGGACACCAGGGACAAAGTTTTATCTTAAACTTTTAGCTTGTGTATTTCTCATCCGAACACATTAGGTAAAACCCAACCTTGTGAAAATAGACCTCGTGTTAGAAACTCTTTGGGGAGCTTCTTTCCCTCTGCCGGGCTCCAGACTAAGACAGACTGGCTCCCTTTGAGCCTCCCTGTATATTTGGGGCCCTTTTCCTGGCTCTTTTGCTGCAAGAGGGGCTCAGTTTTAGCTCCCTACCGGCCTCACATCCCCTCACATTGGTATTAAGACCCTAGATCCGTGGTTCCAGGCCTGACACCTGTCCCCAGGGGAACTGTGGCTGCTGCTCACCCCGTGGCATCCGTTCCCTCTGGAGTTGGCCCCTGGGGCCTTGCCTCATTCCTTCCTTCCTTCATCCATTCACTCACTCGCTCAACAGAGGTTCACACGTTCCTTGAGCGTCTCCTGTGAATAGGGTACAGGAGGCAGCAGGGGCTCAGCACCCAGGATGGGTGGGGGTGGGGGTCCCAGAGCCCAGCTCACTGCCTGCCCCAGGCACAGTCAATTCCAGCCCAACCGTGTTGTTCTCGTGGAGCAGCGAGTGTCCGCCCTCTGTGTAGACCTAACACGTGTGTGCCATGGACCGTTGTGCCCACAGCTTTGACCCCCCTGGTCCCATGTCAGCTGGGATGTCCTGCGAAGTGCTTGTCACCTTCAAGCCCATGGTGAGTGTCTTGGTTCCAAAACCACACAATGTAAAAGGGGATTTTTCTCATTCCGGCATGAGAGGGGGGTGGGTGGGATCAGGGTCCTGCAGCTCCCGGGCACTGCAGAACGTTGTGGTGGAGAAAGGACTCTGGCATCTCGGCAGGGCCCCTGTTCTGCTGTTTTATTTCCGAAACATTTTCCTAAATGCCAGGCAGAATTACAAGGCGGCTCTTCTGGTTCACTAGCCAGCAGGTGTGACCTACTCGTGCTCTTGAGTCTAAATGGGGTGTGTCAGAGTGTCCTAACAGGCCCTGGCCAGTGTGCCACCCTCCGAGGCGCGTTCCATGGAGGCCTTGCTCTGGTGCCACCCGAGCTGGGCAGGCGGCAGGTAGGCCCAGACTGAGGTGACACAGAGGCAGTGTTTGCCACTTACAGATGTTCATGGTGGTCGGGGCGTTTTCTTTCTCAGACAAACAAAGATCTGGAAGGAGATGTCTCGTTTCTGGCTCAGACGGGCGAATTTTCTGTTCCACTGAAGTGTTCAACAAAGAAATGTTCCGTAAGTTCAAAGGCACCGGAGCCCACGTTTCTTGGGACTTCCTGGTTAGGAACCCCAGTGCAGGGAGTGTGCATCCCAGAGTGTGGGTGAGATGGGCTGGGCGTGGGGCTCCCGTCGGGAGTGTGCGTCCCGGAGTGTGGGTGAGACGGGCTGGGCGTGGGGCTCGTGTTGGCAGTGTGCGTCCCGGAGTGTGGGTGAGACGGGCTGGGCGTGGGGCTCGTGTTGGCAGTGTGCGTCCCGGAGTGTGGGTGAGACGGGCTGGGCGTGGGGCTCATGTCGGGAGTGTGTGTCCCGGAGTGTGGGTGAGATGGGCTGAGCGTAGAACCCACATCTCCACGGTGGGCCTGGTCCCAGTGGTGGCTCAGGTCGGGCTCTGAGCCAGTCCTTAGATGGGTGAGGTGTATCCATTGTTCTGAGAAGATAAGCACTCATGTCAATCTTGGAAAAATCCAGACAAGTCCTGGCCCTTGTGTCAGAGGAGCCCTTCAGATTCATCTTGGAAGACTCCAGTCCTCTCTATAGCTCTGTGGTGTCCAGCAATTATTTTTTAAGATTTTATTTTTTCTTTTTTCTCCCCAAAGCCCCGCAGTACATAGTTGTATATTCTAGTTGTAGGTCCTTCTAGTTGTGGCATGTGGGATGCCGCCTCAGCATGGCTTGATGAGCGGTGGCATGTTTGCGCCCAGGATTCCAACTGGTAAAACCCTGGGCCACCGAAGCTGAGCGTGCGAACTTAACCACTCAGCCACGGGGCCGGCCCCGACCAGCGATTTTTTTTAACTGTGGTCGTCACGCTGTTCATCACATCCCAGAACTTACTTACAATTGGAAGTTTGTACCTTTCATTTTTTTAGATTCCACATGTAAGTGTGATCATACAGTATTTGTCTTTCTCTATTTGTCTTATCTCACTTAGCATAATGCCCTCAAGGTCATCTTGTTGTTGCCAATGGCAAGATTTCCTTCTTTTTTATGAATGACTAATATTTCATTGTATGTATATACCACATTTTCTTTATTCATTCATCTATCAATGGACACTTAGGATGTTTTCATATCTTGGCTGCTGTGAATAATTCTACAGTGAACATGGGAATGCAGATATCTCTTCAAGATACTAATTTCATTTCTTTTGGCTGTATACCCAGAAGTGAGATTGTTGGATCGTATGGGAGTTCTATTTTTAATTTTTTGAGGAACCTCCACACTGTTTTCCATAGTGGCTGGACCACTTCACATTCCCACTAAGCGTACGAGGACGCCTTTTTCTCCACATCCCCCCCATCACTTGTTGTCTCTTGTCCTTGGATAATAACCATTCTAACCGGTGTGAGGTGATATCTCATTGTCATTTTACTTTGCATTTCCCTGATGTTTAGCGATGTTGAGCAACTTGTCATGTACCTGTTGGCCATTTGTACATCTTCTTTGGAAAAAATGTCTATTTAGGTCCTCTGGCCATTTTTAAATTGATTGTTTGGCTTTTTGCTATTGAGTTGTATGAGTTCTTTATCTATTTTGGATATTAACCCCTTATCAGATGTATGGTTTGCACATGTTTTCTCTCATTCAGCAGGTTGCCTTTTCATTTTGCTGATGGTTTCCTTCACTGTGCAGAATTGATCCTTTTTTTAACTAAGGAAAATTGCTAACATAATGAAAAAAAGCAGAAAGAATAGTATACTGAATATCCATGTGCCACCCCCTGGATCCAATCATTGTCGACATTTGCCGTATTGCTTCATCGATCTGCCCATCTATTTTTGCGGATCCACTTCAAAGTAAATGAGCGATATCGTAACACTCAACACCCTTCCTTGTAAAACTTCAGCATGCATCTTGAATACACAAGGAAATTCTCCTACAGAAAGCACCGTATCGTTGCCTGTCCTGATTGAACTGGTCAGCACTTACCACAACAATGCTGTGTAACAGACCACTCCTAAATTCAGCAGCTTATAACAGCGATAAACATTTGTCTCATGGTCACAGCTGTGCAGGTCGACTGTGGTTTGGCTGATCCAGGCTGGGCCAGGCCAGGCAGCTCTCTCCAGGCAGCAGTGGCCTGGGGGTCTCCCGGCCCCCAAGCAGCAGCTACCCTGGCATGAGCGCCTCGTGGAGGATGACTGGGGCCCAGAAAATGAGGGCCAATCACACGAGCACGCTTCAGGCCTTCCCTCATTTCACATCTCCTCCCAACAATTGGCCAAGGCAAGTCACATTGCAACGCCCTCCATCAAGGGGGCAGAGACGTTCTCCCCACTCTGGTGCCCCACGGGAGAGCAAGGCGGAAGGATGGCATGGAGAAGTGTCTGAGACTCTGCGCAAATAAGATGAACAGCATTCCTAGTCGTCGCCTGTTACCCAGTCCACATCCAGATGCACCCAGTTGTCCTCAAACCACCTTCTATAACGTGTTTTTTGAGCTAGGATACAATCAAGATCACATATTACATTTGATTATCACACTCTTAAGTCTTTCCCTCTTTTCTTTCAGATTTTTATTGTGCTAAATACACAAAGCCTAGACTTTACCATCTAAGCGTGTCTAGGTGTGCACCTCAGTGTGGTAAATACATTCACGTTGTTGTGCAGCTGCCACTGCCATCCGTCGCCAGAACTCTTCCCATCTCGTCAAACAGAAACCCTGTCCCATTAAGCACTCACTCTCCATCCCCCCCAGCCCCTGGCAACCTCCGTCCTACTTTCCGTCCTATGATTTTGACAACTCTAAGTACCTTATATAAGTGGAATCATATGGTATTTCTTTTGTGACTGCCTTATTTCACCAAGGACGGTGTCCTCAAGGCCCCTCCGTGTCGGGGTGAGTGTCAGGGTTTCCTTCCGTGTCGAGGCTGACTGGTGAGGAGGGCCTGGCCCCTGTCGTGCTGCTCGCTGTGCGCTGTCCCTCGTTTCCTGCACGCCTGTCTTCTTTTGTGTTTAGTCAATTTTTTTTTAGTGAAACATTTTAGTTCCTTCCTCATCTCCTTTTGTGTATGTCCTAAAGCTATTCTCTTAGTGGTTCCCATGGGGATGACATTTCACATCCTAGAGTTATAATGCTCTCACTTGAATTCATAGCAGCCTATGTTCAACTACATACAAAAACTCTGTTTCTTTAGAGCTCCATCCCCACCCCTTTCTGTTGTTGATAGCACAGTATCACATCTTTATAACTTGTGTGTCCAATAACATAAACTAATAATTTTTAAAAATGCATTCGTCTCTTAAGTTACGTAGAAAACAAAAAGTGCGTCTACAAACTACTGTTACAATAGGACCAGCTTCTATAATTGCCCATGTATTTACCTTCATTGAGGTCTTTATTTCTCTTTTTGGCTTAAGGTACTGTCTTGTGTCCTTCCGTCTCACCCTCCAGGACGCCCTTGAGCATTTCTTGCAGGGCAGGTCCAGTGGTCACATCTCCCTCAGCTGTTGTTTATCTGGGAATGTCTTAATTTCTCCCTTAATTTTGAAGGGTGGTTTTGCCAGATACAGGATTCCTGGCTGACTGTTTTTCTTTGAGCACTTTGGAAATGTTGGCCCACTGCCTCTGGCCCCCAAAATCTCTGAGGAGAAATCTTCTGAGAGTCACTGGAGGCTCCTTTGTGCACGATGAGTCTCTTCTCTCTTGCTTTCAAGGTTCTCTCTTTGTCTTGGCTTTCAAGACTTAGATTATAATGTGTCTCCATGTGGATCTCTTGGAGTCCCTCTTACTTGGAGTTTGTCAGACTTCTCAGACGTTTATATTCACGTCTCTCATCAAATGTGGGAAGTTTGGGGCCAGATTATCTTCCGATATTCTCTCTGCCCGCCTCTCTCTTTCTTCTGAGATTCCCACAATACATGTATTCGTCCACTTGATGGTGTCCCTTAGGCTTTTTTCTCTTTTCTTCAATATTTTTTCTTTCTGTTCCTCAGACTCAGTTTCCATTGTCTTATCTTCAAGTTCACTGATTCTTTCTTCTCTCTGCTCAAATCTGCCTTTGAACCCCTCTGGTAAGTTTTTCACTTTGGTTATTGTACTTTTCAGCTCCAGAATTTCTTTTTGGTTTCTTTTTAGGTTTTTTGTCTCTTTATTGATACTTCCATCCTGTTCATACATCATTTTCTTTACTTTCTCCACATCTTCTTTAGTTCTTCAGCATCTTTAACATGGTTTTCTTTAAGTCTTATCTGGTAGATTTGCCATCAGATTGTTTCAGAAACAATTTATGTTGATTTATTTTTTTCCTTTGAATGAGCTGTGCTCTCTTGATTCTTTGTACGCCTTGTGATTTTTTGTGGAAAACTGGACATTTGATCTAGTCATGTGGTAACTCTGGAAATCAGATTCTCCCCTTCCCCTGGGGTGTTTTTTTTTGTTTTTGTTGTTTTTGTTTATTGTTTTTTGATTGTTGGAAGCTGTCTCTGTGCCAAGGATCAGCCTGAAGTGTAAACTTAATGTCTTCCAGGTCTTTTCTGAGCCTTTCCCTGAATACGCACAGTCACTTTCTGCTTTTCCCTGTCTCTACAGTTGTTTTGAATGTCCTAGTCTTTAATATCTGGGGGGAAAGAGAAAAAATGGGGTGGGGGGGAAGAAACAAGGACATCAACCTTTTGAATCCCCTGGATGTCTCTCCAGCTGGAGGGGGAGGGGCAGCAGCTGTGGCCACCTGCCTCATCGTCAGCGCCTCTGTGGTCACAGCAGAGATCCCCGATGTTTGGAAGACAGGGTCTTTTTTGCCACCCTGGCTCCTGCAAGCTGTGTGCAAGTCGCTCCAGGAGCACACAGCTGTCTGCCATGTGGCTGGGGTATGGGGTGGGTAGTAATACTGTGCTAAGAGCTGCGATTGACCAAAATTGGTCACAATTGGCCATCCAAAACTTCCTCTGGAAGTTGCCAGACTTCATCAGACTCCTGAGTTCCCAAATAGTTCATCAGATGGATTCTGCCTGTGCAGTTGTCCCGGCGGGGAGTGACTCCTGGTGCTCCCTGCCCACCATCACCCCAAGTCCCC